TAATTGGCCAATGACAAATATATTCCGATTACTACCAATTATTATAGGAGCTCTGGTAGCATAGTGGCTAAGACACTTGCCTGCTAACCAGACGGCTGGCAGTTCAAACCCACCAGCCACTCCTCGGAAGGAAGGTTGGGCAATCCTACTTCCGTAGTGATACTGCCTCGGAAACCCGAGGAGGGGTCACTATGAGTCGGATTTGACTCGACGGCACACAACAACAACAAGTCTCTGTTGCCACCTAGTGGCAGTTCCTATTAGCGAACCCACTTAACAGGTGATTTCCGGGAAGACATTCATTCTACAAATGGTTAATCACTCCCTGCACATCACTCTGTATGAGGCATTATTTTATCATTCATGATTACTAAATGCATTTTGTAACATGATAGAAGGATCACGTTACTTCTAAATTATTTTGTCTCTTGAGACAATTAGCTGGTAGTGCAACTCAAAAATTCCAAACTCATTGCCATTGAGTAGATTCTGACTCATAGCAACCCCCACTGGGCTTAAAGGTTATAAATATTTCCGGAAGCAGACTGCCCCATCTTTCTTTCTCAGAGTGGCTGGTAGGTTTGAACCACTGACCTTTCAGTTAGCAGCCAAATGCCTTAACCGCCACACCACCAGAGCTTCTTGGGCAGTGCAACTGAGTACCAAAAATCTGTAGGCCAGCCTACACTGATATGACCTCAACTGATTGATTGATTACGTTGAATGGCATCATAGAAGGTGATTAGATATATTACATCCACAGTTATAGAGATTAGGAGTCTAACACATGTTTTGGGGGGACACAATTCAATCCAAAGCAGTCTCCAATAGATAGAAAACACAGATCTGGGAACCAAAAGGAAAAAGGCCTCTGTCAGTCTGTGGCCCAGTTGGAGAACTTGGGCCTCCCCTCCCTTCAACTTCAGGCTCTGATGAACTAGAGCTCATGGCTCCTAGGAGCTCTGGTGGCATGGTGCCTAAGGCATGTGACTGCTAACAGAAAGCTGGGGATTCAAACCCACAAGCCACTCCTCAGAGGGAAGATTGGGCAATCTACTTCCATAGTGATACCGCCTTGGAAACCCAAGGAGGGGTCACTATGAGTCGGATCCGACTCGACGGCAGTGAGGTTTTTGCAGTTAGAAGTTGGTGGAGATATATCTGCTAGAGGTCATAAAAGAGCTCCACTAATCTAAAACTAAGGAGCTCTGATAGCGCAGTGCCTAAGGCACTTGACTGCTAACCAGAAGTCTGGCGGTTCAAACCCACCAGCCACTCCTCGGAAGGAAGATGGGGCAATCTACTTCTGTAGTGATACTGCCTCGGAAACCCAAGGAGGGGTCGCTATGAGTTGGGGCCGACTCAACAGCACATAACAACAACAATCTAAAACTAAGCTGATGCCTGGTCATTTGGGGTTCCTCATATTGGTAAGCCAGCTAGGGGAGAAAGAAGTGACTATCCTGCAGAAGTAAGTGATTATCATGAGGAAAGAGGGGCAGGGAAAATGAGCCTGGAACTCAGGGAGTCCAGAGGTCCACTTTGTGTTCCCATGCTTGGTGATAAAGATAGATTGGCAATTTCAGCAAACAGGGTTAGACAACAGCATAACAACCATGGGCTAAGCCCCCTCAAGGATGAAGTACCCCACTTTCATGCAACTTAGACCAGCAGAGGAACTAACCAAGTGTGAGAGGAACCTAGAATGGGTGGTAGAGAAGAAATAATGAGTATCAACTGTGGCTCAGGACCAAGTTCAGCAACAGAGACT